CCCCGCGTCCTGTCCCCTTCCCTGAGGGGACATTAGTGCCAGGCTCTGCCCCTCCGCCCGCCCTGTGCATTACAGGGGTCGATGGGGCTGAATCGATACCACCAGCTATGGACCAAAAAACCCCAAAAGGCAAGTGCACCCGCCTCTGCCCAGCCCCGGGGCCCAGCACAGCACGTGCCAGGGCCTTGGGAATGTCAGCACCTCACCAGGCACTGGGGCAGCATCACTGAGTCCCCCGTTAGCCCCAAAGCCAGAAATAGCAGAGCCCGTCATTCCCAGGGGTTATAAATAGTCTTGGCTATGGGGAGACGTTGTTTTTCTGCACGGAAAACGCTGCCCTAGTTCTGTTTCATCAATCTGCCACCAAAAATAGGCCTGATTTCTTGGAAATTTCTTGCCGTTTGTTTGTGGGTTAAAGCACTGCCTCGCAGGGACTCGGGGGGAAAACAAGCTGAGCCCACCAGGTTCTGGGGCACGGCCAGAGGGACCCTAGACCTTCCCTTCTCCATCCTCTTGCCACGGACAGCATGTTGCCAGGGAAGAGCATGTCCTGTGCTCCACACAGTCTGTGGGTTGGGGGCTTCAGGGGGCACCAGGCTGGGGTGGTAGCAGGGCTGGCACAGGGCAGTGTCACTGCAAAGCTCATGGGCCATCTCTCCCTCCAGCTGGACCCACAGGCCGTGCAGACGAAGAACTGGCACATGGATGTGATTGAGATGAACGGGGTAAGTGGCGCTGTGGGGACCCACAGCCCCTCGCGTTGATGGCAGCCCCTTCCCCTGTGTGAGGAGAAGGTGACGGGCCAGGGCCGGGCTGCTGGACCTCACCCCCTGTCTCCTGCAGATCAAGGTGGAGTTCTCCATGAAGTTCACGAGCAGAGATATGAGCCTGAAGAGGACTCCTTCCAAAAAGCAGACCGGTGTCTTCGGGGTCAAAATCAGTGTTGTGACAAAGTATGTGCGGGTATGGGGTTGCCAATCTGCTCCCCATGTGGGTGTGGGGTTGTGGGAACCTGAGGGGACCTGCTCCATCCTTGCCAGCCCTGTCCCTGCTGCCCATCCTGCCCTTGCCCTGGGGTGTGCAGGGCTGGGCTGGCCACCATGGGGTCCCCTGGGAATGTCTGATCACAACTCTGCTTCCCGAGCCAGGCGCGAGCGCTCCAAGGTGCCTTACATTGTGCGCCAGTGCATCGAGGAGGTGGAGAAGAGGGGCATCGAAGAGGTCGGGATCTACAGGATCTCTGGCGTTGCCACTGACATCCAGGCGTTGAAAGCTGTCTTTGATGCAAGTGAGTGTCCTGGGAGGCAGCAAGCACTGAGACCCTCCCCATTCCCCTGCTCTGCAAGCCCAGGGTCTGGTTATTGCACTGCATGTGTGCAAAATGCACCGGTGGGCCCAGGAAGGGGCTGGGGGCAAGGAGGAGGATGCAGCTGGGAAAACAAACACCCAGAGGTCCCAGCCTTGTTTATGCCTTGGTGTCTCCAAGCCGTGGCTGTGCCTGGCCGGCTCCTGGGAGACACTGACTCCAGGCAGCGGTGCAAATGGATTTGCAAATTGTTCCGTGTCTCATTGCCCAGCCAGGCGGGAGCTGCTCGGCTCTTCCCAGCCCCAGCCTGCGTAAACGGGGCTGCGAAGCCAGCGATGCTGTTCCTGCTCTCCAGCCAGCAGCCTGCCCAGATAGCTGGGGTGACATGGAGGGTTGAGGAGGCGCAGGAGGTGTCACATGTGGGTGCTCTCTGGACAGATAACAAGGACATCCTGGTGATGCTGAGTGACATGGACATCAACGCCATCGCCGGCACGCTGAAGCTGTATTTCCGTGAGCTGCCCGAGCCCCTCCTCACTGACAGACTCTACCCTGCCTTCATGGAGGGGATAGGTAAGGGCTTGGGGATGGGGTTGGTGCTCATGCATGGCTGTTTGGCATTGCCTGCTCTGGGACAGGAGACTCCCAAGGGTCCTTCCCAGCTCAGCCCTGTTGGTCCTGGCTGTCCTTGCTGGCTCCAGGGGCTCGTGGTGCTGCTCTGGGGCGCAGGCAGAGCCCTGCGAGTCAAGGCCATGCAGGGAGGCATCTGGCCATGGCAAGTCCTGCTGCTGCGCAAGATGTCACCAGCCCCTGTCCTCAGCCCTCTTTCTCCTTGTCTCCAGCCCTCTCGGATCCTGCTGCCAAGGAGAACTGCATGATGCACCTTCTTCGCTCGCTGCCTGACCCCAACCTCATCACTTTCCTCTTCCTGCTGGAGCACTTGAAAAGGTAAGGCATGGCTTGGCTGGCCCAGCAGTGGCTCCCAGGGTCTGTGCAGTGCAGATGATGGGTGCAGGATGGGTCTGTGTTGTCACTTTGCTGTGGAGATGGAACGTGAACAGAGTTGAAGCCGCTGTCAGCTTCCTGTAATGCCTGCATGGCCGCGGGGTGATCCTGAACTGGAGGCAGATGGTGCTGTGCTGGTGCAGAGCGGGGCTGTGGGCGGCAGCTCCTCCTCCCACACCCCATAGGATGCTGGAGGGATCCTGGAGCCATTCTGCCCCACAGAGCAGCCCCCAGGGCCACCAGCCACGGTGCCAGTGGGGACCGCACAGTGTGTGGCCGTTGACGCGGGCTGGCTCTGCAGGGACCACACGTCCTCTGACAAGATGTGGCTCTTGGCCGCTGCCGCCGGTGTGCAGCTGGGGGGATGAGCTCTCCCTGGGGAGCAGCTGGCCTCGGCACAGGATAGGGAATCAACTGGGAGCTGCGCAGTGTCCCCCTTAGTGGGGAAAAACTGAGTTCTGCATCCCTTCCCACCAGTGCAGCAGTAGCCTCTGCAAAACTAGGTGCAATCGTCCCTGTAGCTTGTCTGCAGTGAGTGGCCAAGACCCAGAGATGGTCAACTCTGTGGACGTGTCCCAGTGCTGCAGTTGATGCCCCCTGTTGCTTGTCCCAGAGCGAGTGCAGCAACATGTGGTTTGCCAGGCTTTATCTTGGCCCAGATGATCCCGAGGACAGGCAGTTCTGGGGCTTGCTGGAGCCCCAAAACCCGTGGAGGGCACGGGGCTGTGGGCAGGACGGTGGTGCAGCATGCAGAGCCTGGCCGGAGCTGGCCACGAGTTTGGGACTGGGGCTCACGGCTCATGTTACTTGCATCATGAAGTGTTTGGTTTTGTTTTTTTTCTTTCACTGGTTTGGCTAAGACCAAACAGAAAAAGTGATTGGTGCTGGGGGTTGGGGAAGGAAAAATCCGTTTCCATCCTGAGAACTGGGCACAGCCAGTTCCCACATCTGCTCCCCTGGCCAGGGCTCAACTGCGCAGCCTGGGCTGGGGAGCACAGCTGCCTCCTAACATGGCAATGTTGTGGCCCCGGTTCCCTCGGTGCGGGCTGGCTGGGGTCCCGTGGGGTCGGAGGGATAGGGAGCCTTGTGGGGAGTGAGTGTGGGGAGGCACGGGCTGGCGTGGAGCTCCCCATACCCTGCAGGGACTCGGGAAGGGTGGAGGCTCTGCTGCACTTAAGCAAGTGAAGGCTCGGTCGCTGCCACATCACACCCGAGGCTCCCAGCCAGAGGCCCCCAGCCAGGCCCCGCGGCTCCGGCGGAGGCCGTGAAGGGGGCAGAGCTCCCTGCCCTGCACCTGGGTTTGCCGGGGGCTGGGAAGGGGAATGGCAAGCTGGAGATGTCCCATGGGAGAAGGGAGATCAGCACTCACCCCCGCATCGCCCCGTGGCTGCCTCGCTCCGGGAGAATGCATTAGGGGCTCACACCCCCTCTCTCCCTCCATACCCCACAGGGTAGCTGAGAAGGAGCCCATCAACAAAATGTCTCTCCACAACCTGGCCACGGTCTTTGGGCCGACACTGCTGCGACCCTCCGAGGGGGAAAGCAAGGGACACCTCACCCTGGCCTCTGACATCTGGTCCCACGATGTGATGGCCCAGGTAAGACCTGTGCCAGCAGTGTGGGGGCCACACTCCACGCCAGCACCCCTGGGGCAGGTCATGGAGGGATTTATCTGTCTGGTTAGGTTTGTCTCTCTTTGCTGGATGTGGCTGCACAGGGACAAGCTGGGAGGTGGCAGCTCTGCCCCTTTCTGGCCTAACACCCCCCATTTGCCTGCTACAGGTCCAGGTCCTTCTCTACTACCTGCAGCATCCTCCCATCTCCTTCACGGAGCTGAAACGCAACACACTTTACTTCTCCACGGACGTGTAGCCTGCGGGGAGAAGGCACCAGCTGCAAACACTCCCAGCTCCCTGCTGGGGGACACAGACTGGATCGCAGCCCCCCAGGGAGACCGGCCCAGACCCAGGACCGTGCCGCCTGCAGCTCCTGTACAATCGCGTACCAGTGGCCCGGTCCCACCCCAGGCGCCATGCCTCTCTGTAAAGTAGTCGTGTCTTATGTCCCTTCTTGTGTTCAAGAATTGTTTTTATGTATATTTGTTCAACGGAAGAGGTAGTGACTGACAAGGGCTGTGGACACAGGCTTCCCCCTTGGCTAGTTTTTCTCCTGGACTCCTTTCTGCCCGCTCACTCCTACCAGGGCCCCCTCGCCTCGCCCAGCTCGAAGCCTGCAGCGTCCCATGAGTGCCTGTTTTGCCTCCCAGCTCCCCTGCCCCATGCCTGCATGTGCAGCACTGGTCTGCTTCAGAGGCTGGGAGCTCACGGGCTTCCCTCCCCGGCGATGGTGACGACCAGCTCTGCTTTGGCTTGCTGCCTGCGCAAACGTTGGACCCTGTGCCTGGATCCTGCCCTGGCCCGAGCAAACCTGCGACCACGGAGGAGCGAGGTCCTGCTTCCTCCTCTCCACGTCTCTTCTGGGTGCTTTCAGGCCATTCCCCTCTTACAGCCCTTGCTCTGTGCTTTGCCTGTGTGCGTGTAGCGTGGCGGTTACTTCCCTCGCCGTTTCTCGCCTCCGAGTAGCATTTTGGGGTAACCCATCACACAGGGCTGGAGCGAGAGGTGCTGTGCTGGTCTCGATCCACAGCAGCCTTGAGGGACGGCCAGATCTGCTCCCTCCACCACGGGCTGACCCCTGGTCTGTGCTGTGGTACTGACAGGATCCCATCAGGGCGTGTGGGTTCCACAATTTCCCCAACGAGCCCTGGTGGGGCAGGGAACGGGGTCCCTGCCATTTCCGTACACATGTATCCCTGCCATAGCGTGGTGTGCACGCCCCTGCCAGCCCAGCACTGCCACAAAGGTTTGCCGGTGCTGGCTGTGCCCTGTGGCAGAGACTGCCAGGGCACCAGTGTCCCTGCCACAGCCATGAGAATGGGGAGGTTTTTGTTTCCCTTCTTGGCCTTCCCTGCTGCCCCAAGCACCAGGCAAATGGCAGCACGTGGCCCTGCTTCGGTGCCAGCCAGGCTGTGCAGCAGCTGGATGGTCACCCAGCCTGGAAACCAGCGCAGACAGACGGGAGGAGGAAAGCCTTCCTGGCCCTCACTGCCGAAGGCAGAAGTGCTTTGTTTTCTTTCTCACCAAGCAATTGCTGCTGTGTTAGCCGTGCCCAGCCAGCTCAGGTCCATTTCAGTGAGTGGCTCCAGGTCTTGACCCCCAGGCTGAAGGCTGGAGTTGTCACACCGTGTCCCAAGGCAGGACGGCCACATGCTCACTGCCAGGCCGTGTCCTGGCTGCCTAAATACTTGGCTTTCGATATGTCCCCTGCCCTCCCACCCTCCCAGGTAGGTGCTGGTACCTGTTGGGACACAAAACCTTTCGCTCCGTGAGCTGAGTCCATGTTCTCGTGGGAAAAGCCCCCTCCCTGATTGCGTTGGCCCTATGCTCTCCTGTGCCAAATGGAGATGGATGAGACGTGACCAAGCGTATCCCTGCTAACAGCAGTGTTGCCTTTTCACCCCCCTGACTGCCAGACTGTTCCAGGTAGAGCCCGGCCGCCTGCCACTGATGCACCAGGTATGTCCTAAGCCCACCGCCCCAGGGAAGGCAGCACCCGCTGGCCCTGCACCAGCAAAGCAACTAAAGGAGGGGAGGGCTTTCGGGTCCCCTCTAAAGGGCTCACACTCCAGACCCTGCTCCTCTTGACTACCAGCTAAACTGAAGGGAAACAGCGTTGCAGAGAACAACCAGGTGTTGGTCTTGGCCCTGGACCCAGGAAGGAGGCCGAGTTTTAGATCTGACCGCACAACGGATCCCCGTGTCTGATTTGTTACATATGTCCAAGTCTCTGTCCGTGATACTGTCGTTCCAGACAGAGACTCTGTACAGCCAAATCCCCCCCTTCCCGCACGACAGTGGCTGGAGGCCTGGTCCACACAGCCCCGGCACAACAGGCTGTGGCTGTCCCCGTGACTGGCTTTTGCTTGTCCCTACAGGAAGGAAAAGAAGTGGGGGTGGACTCTTGCAGCTACAGGTAGAATAGAACTGTTAATTAATATTTGACTTTCAAAAGTTGTTAAGGATATATTTTTGTTTGTGTTCTGTTTCAATTTCTGTAGATTACAAACTTTAAATGGCTGTAAACCATGTGAGGAGAAAAAAAAAAAGTTAATAAAAATGCAAAGCTCCAACATTTGCACAAAAGGAGCCCTGTGGTGTTGCTGTTTGCACTAACTGATCACCTTGGCATCACAGCTGCTGCTTTCTGTCATTAAAATCTTGCTAGCTGCACTTCAGACCAGTGGTATAAGCACAGGCATTGTGCTAGGCAATCTTGTAAGAGACATCTTATGGTTTGGGCTACATCCTTGCATTTCAGTATGTTCTGGAGGGCAAAAAAAATGGACTCTCTGGAGCCAGTCTGTTTAATCAGCCCAGAATTACTCAAGCTTAAAATACAGCTGACTTGCACAGCTTCTGGCCTGAGGATACTGAACAGGCACAGCAAGGGACATCAGGCGATCTGGAAACCTCATCTGATAGATCACATGGTGCTGTCTCCCCACTTTCCATGTGGGAATGGGAGACAATGTGCCTCCAGACTGACCACGGACCACTGGATCAGCCAAGCCACCCCACTAGGATCGCTCTTCCAGGTAAGCAAGTGCTGTCACCATTTTAGGATGTCAAACTGTGGATGCAAAGGAGGAGAAACGGGTGGGAGAATCCCCATTAGGTGTGTGCACTGAATCTGAAATCCTGCTGCCTCAAAAAACACGAGGTTTGGGTGTTTGCCCTTGCGGAATGGCTCAATGAAGGTTAAATTCAGCCTAAACTATCCTGAGTTTCTCAAAAAGGGAGCAGCTCCTTGAGCTAATGAACAGATGTTTCGACTTCAGTACCAATGTTCTGCAGAAATAACACTTCACTTTCCCCAGTAGTCACACTGGGGCACTCGGAGGTGGTACAGGGACATGATGGGAAACAGACTGTGTGCTAAGTGAATGCCCAGTTATCTGTCTAACAGTGGTTTATTCTCACAACTCTGCTTTCTAGTCTCACCATCGAACTGCTGGAACTAATGGTGTGAGCCTGTGGCAATTAAAGCAGTAGCATGATTACTTGTACTCCCACAGCGAGGTTAAATCAGGCTAGCCAAGTGGCTACAGAGAATTATACTTCTGCAACAACCTCTTTTTTCCCCCCTTAAACTGTTTTGTTCATCTGCCAGTAACCACACAGTTTTAAGGCTAAGGATTCCTTTTTGCTTTTCCCTTTAAGACATGGTAGAGAAATCTGGCTCTCATCTCCGTACTTGAAATAAGACAAGCTGTACAGATGGTAGTTTGTCTTCAGCTGGTATTTTAAGAAAAGCCTGGAACAAACTTCTTTCTCCACAGGATCTTACCCTCTCCCCAACCGAGTAGCAAGCTGCAAACTGGTAACTGTTAAACACTTGCAGCACATTCAAACACACGGTAACCTAAATCACTGCATTTCTTTTTGAAGATTGTCCTCCTGCTTCTTTTGATGCTAGCAACAGACTTAATCAAAATCAGACCCAAAGGATCGAAAAAAGCTGAGAGTCCAGGCTTGTTTCCTGGAAACTGGCAGTCAGCTGATCCGTCCTGGAGATACTGCTCGCTGCGCCTGGCTCCATCCTCACATACTCCCGCAAGTCTGCCTGAAGCAGCAGGCCAGGGCTCAGAGCCAGATTATTGTTAGTCATTCAGGAAAAGCAGCCAACGCCATCCAGCTTGCACCGATTTGGACTCCAAAGGCAGTGGAAAGGTAAGCCTGATGGTTCTTCTGCCGTGATGCAGGCTCTCAGCAGCAGCACTGGAGCAAAAGGGAAACTTGCTCCCAAGGGATCCCACGGTTACCGTAGATAGTAATCAATTGCGGCAGAGAAAGCAGCAAATCCACCACAGCCGATAACCCCTGCCTTCAAACCAGCTGCAACACAAAAAGGGTGGGAAAGAATGAGACAAAATGGGAAAGCTATTTTACTTCCAGTAACTAGCTTATGCTGTGCTGACTTGAAGAGCTTACACACGCAGGAACGTGGTGGTCCTCTGCCAAGGAACACTGGCACTACCACGGCCCAAGGCGAGGGGGAGAACCTGGTACACACAGGACTAGCACAGCACACTGGCTGGGTGCTGTGCTGCTCGGTCTCCCCCCAAAGGGCTGGAAGAGAAACTGCCAGTGGCCACTGTCGATTTCATTGCGCTCTGATCCGAGCACCGAAAGTGGCTTTGCTGTTGGACAAGGGATGGACAGGAAGAGCAGCGGCAGCTTTGAAAGCTCTAAGAGGATTAGGTCCAGGACAGACACAACTTAACAAGCTCAATTAGAAGCACTTTCAGTAGCACTTTCTCTTCTTTTATGCTCTGTGGACCTTTTTATATTTTCTTAAGGAAAAGTGAGAGAAATTTGATATTTCTGATGAGCAGAGCAGCTCTCTTCCTACTTCAGTCTTTTCTCCAGATGTTGGTAGCACTCAAAGCTTCCCAAAGTCCCCATTAGTGCCTGCTGGACTAAAATCCTAGTGCTCCTGCTCTTTTACAGCTAAATAGAATTGTCTGTTTGAATTGATACATGAGAAAGGAGGAAAGCATTTGACACACTGTACAAATTAACAGTTACTGCCAGTGAAATAGTATACACAAGCAGAGCTCTGTTAACACAAGAGCTGCAGCGTCAGAGAACTGCTCAGTATGTATTTTTGGCTCCCTCCTCATGACACCACAGAAGAGTGTGGATAGCTAACACCATTTCCTGACTTTTCTTTCAAGTCACTTCTCTTGATTTTCCTCCAGTCTCACTGTCCTGTACGACCAAGCCTTCCCTACCCACATACATCTTTCAAGATGACAGGAAAGCAATAGAAATAGCCGTTCTGCCAGTCTGGAGTACACTCTCATGCTGACATCACCATAACCCCATGCAAAGGGATTTGTAGTGTGTGTTCCATTAAAAACACCCCATGCTGCATAGCCAAATGAGAGTTTTATCACAGAAACAGTTCATAGCAGGCACTACCAACCTCTGAAGCCGATTGCTCCTCCTGTGATGCAGCCACTAATAACACTATTCTTCCAATCTGACTTTCCACGATACTGTGGAATTAAAAATCAGAGTCAACAAGTAATTATGAAATAAACACTCAGTATCTGTACTAACACCAAGAAAGAGAAAATGACCTTCCAGCCCATTCTCGTCTGAGGATGCTTTTCCCTCTATTCTCAGCAGATGGCCCCCTGCACACTCAAACTTAAGACTTGCAGGGCCAGGAGCAGGTCACCGGGAGAGGTAAGACAAATCCATATGGTGCAATGCAGTGCTACAGCACAGACTCTCAGGTGAGCAGATACAGCCCCCAGCTCAGAGATTTCAAAGGCACTATAACCACAACTGCAACACTGAGCCTGGCCATGCAGCCTGGTTCTCAGCACAGGTGAGAGCCACAGCACCCTGCTGACAAAGATGTAGTATTTCCCTAGCCAGAGCACGCTAGTTTTTCACCAGGCCAGAGATCTCTTTGTTCTGCTCCACTGTGCAAGCAGATACACTTTTCTTCTAGATGAGTAAAGATATAATCATGTCTTTCAATTAAAAGGCAGTACCGAACTTCATAACAGGCTAATTTTCCTATTTAAGGAAATGGATGCTAGATTTACCACTGGGCTGCACAAGGTCATTTCTTGCTGTAGGGACAAGACGAAAATAGGGCCTGTTACTTAACCATCATCAAAGGATCCCTTTCTGTGTATGGAATTTTTAGAGGCTCAAATTACCATGCTGCAACCCAAAGGTTGATGTTTTAAAGTAACAAGTACTTGTACTTAGGGTTTCAAAAAGTAACGCTTATACTTGCCAGTACATTCAGGACTTGAAGCTGCATGTTCTTCTGCTCATTCTGTCAGAGAACAGCAGTTCTGAAGACAGGTCTCAAAGCTGAAAAGCTTTGACAGCCAAGAAACAGAACAAACTAGACTACTCCCTTGCTCCATTACAAAGGGGATATACATACTTATTTGGATCAGTAGAAGAGATTATTAAGCCTACAAGAAAATATTGCATAATACTTAAAAAAGTTGTTACTCACAGATTCTACCACACATTCAGTGCAAGAGAACATGGCGCCCACAATGGCGAAGTTCTTTGCGTAGGATATGCCTCGCTGCCCCATATCTTTGAGGACCTCTTTTGCAGTTGGTGTGCGGTATGGATCCTTGGGATCAAACCCAACATTGGTGTCGATGCCAGCTGTGAAGACACCAAATGCGCCTCCCAGAACAAATCCTGTAAAAGAAAAAAAAAAGTAAAGCAAACCTTGGCTGGATTTGAGCAGCACGTTCTCCACAGGCGCCAGAGCATCCCCGCTCCCACTATCTGTCAATGCCACAGAGTAAGAGGCGCAGTACAAGAGCACAAATGGCCTGTCTCTGGATACCACGGACACTGCTGTCGACACCCACCTTGCTGACAGACTGTGCTGAGGAAGGACTGTGAGCACCTCTTCCTTTCCAAGGAAGAGAGACAGAGATCTCTCTTTGGGGCCTGCAACAGGTTCTGGAGGAGGCTTAGAGGGAGGAAAATAAAACACGGGGGGACCCTGTGCTGCAGCCTCTTCTCCATCCGGAGAAACAAGGAAACACCGGTGTGGAATTAAAAATCAGAGACAACAAGTAAATATAGAATAAACATTCAGTACCTGTACTAATATCAAGAAAGATTAAATGACCCCCATCCCTGACCGCCCCCACAGCTGCCTACCCTGACCACGGCCCAACGTCCCGTC